CGGAGCGTTGGCGCCCATGGCTGATCTATATAGCGGATCGAAACGCGGACAGACAGGAACCCCAGAGGACCCAAAGACTATCACATCCTCTCCTGGAAGGAGAATGAGACCCGATACGATATCCGCGGTGACCACAGGCGCAGGCAATGGGACCTCCTAACCCATCACACCCTCCCATACCCACCCCTCCCTCAACATCCCTCTTTATCCCCCTTCTATACTTTACCTATTTCTCTATTATCTTTCATTATCCAACGAGGATACATAAACTGACTGAATAACTGATGCAATACAACTCATTCTGAGGTTACCAACAGATTCATTACATATTTACGCATAATAGTTTGTCTAGGGGCAACTACTCCAACCACAATATCTGGGAAAATGAACTGGGTAAATATTTATACAAACAGTTACTGACCTTCAAAATGGGCTCAACGACCTCTGACATCTTACTGGGGCTGTGGCTTGCAGGAGATAAAGAGATAGCTAAGATAACCATACAGCCGACTCATTACAGATGTCGACTTACCTAGGAAACGGTATAGGGACGGCCGCCCTACTGACTTAAGATGATCTCCCCGGACAAACAGACCTCAATATTAAACCGCCCCGAAGAAATCGGACATGCACTTATTACCTAATTAACTAAAACGGAGATAACCTCTAATAGCTCTGCTGGACACAATAGGACACACTCGACTAACAAGACAGCATACCCGAGCATAACCTATTACATGCCCATGGACGCCCTTTAATCACCCTTGTACCTCCCACGAAGCACAATCCAATGCCTCAGACAGTTGATATGAAAAACCTCCAATAAGCCGAACTCAGTCCACGACCTATCATTATCCCAATTCATGATAGCAATCTTAGCAACATATTGACTAAACCAGCTCGAAGTACACAGTTACCCTAAGCTTCTGATTACTAACATACCATTGTTTAATTGTTGATCACTGGAATTTCGCAAGGACCTGCGTGTCCGTTATATCTTGTTTGAATGTCGCAGTTATGTGTTGATAACTCATATCTTGTCTGGACCTACATGCCCAGTACATTGTATCTTATGGCTGCAACTAATAAACAGCTTTGAAATTAAAAAAAAATAAATAAATAAAAAAAATCTCCGACAAAATATTTAAATCATCTCATTTGATCATTTTAGAAGATAATGTCGAGGATATTTCTTTAAATAATTGGTCTAAATTTCAATGGACGATTTGGGATATCCTCCATGACGACCAAATTTTACCTTTTGCTGATATTCAAGCCAAACTTCTTCTCCCTAACAAAGAACTTTTCTCTTATTTAAGAAATAAAAATTTCTTGAATAAGTTCTTATTAAATACGTCACCAAAAATTGATATTCTTATTCAAACCATCTTTAGATATACTAAGGTTAATAAAATTCTTTCAAAAGCTACTAACTTGCTATCCATCCTTGATCAACAACCCTTAAAGATACTTGATAAATGGAAAAATATCCTAAATATTGACATAACTGAGCAGGAATGGTGTATGTCTCTTAAAGATACCCGTAAATATATTCATTGTCAGAATTTAGTTGAATGTCAATGTAAGGTTATGTATAAATGGTATCTGACTCCATATAAATTAAGTAAGATGTATCCAGGTCAAATTCCTCACTGCTGGCGTTGTGGTTATCCAGAGGGAACACTTGTTCATATATGGTGGCATTGTAGTTTAGTTAAAAATCTTTGGGAGTGGTCCTTTGAAATACTTAAATGTTTATTTAATATTACAATTAAAAAAGGCTCGGATACAGCACTGTTACATTTAAACTGGAAACTTTCTTCCACTTCTTCAAAGTGCCTCGTAAACCATTGCTTCCTGGCAGTAAAAATAATAATAGCAAGACAATGGAAGTCGCATCTTCCTTTCTTGAGGAGTCAGCTTGTCAATCAAGTTCTATTTCAACTCCAAATGGAAAAAGATTTACCAGTCTCCTCTATATTTTTTGTAAATAAACAAGACCAATACATTAATTGGATTAGAATTTTGGAAAATAAATGAATTATCTCTTTGTATTTTAGATTTAGATTTCGATAGACTTCGATAGAAAATCTCACTACGGTGATATTTCTCTTTCCATGATGTTTAGACTGACCTTAGCCCATATTTATATTTATTTTTATTTAGACAACAGTTCTATAAGATATAAATTATCTTTTTATTAAGATATCCTTAGCTGTTTAGCTTGGGAATTACCTGATATTAAGATTGGAACAGTTGTAATAATGTAAATTATATGTTTGTTATTGTCACACTTGTCTTTGTCTTGTATGTAAATTTCACCATTTTGTCATATGTATGATAAAAAAAAAAAACATTTTCAATAAAAAAAGAATGGGAAAATAAAAGAAAGAAATTTGATAACTTGTTGTCTAAAGGAAAAGAAATAGAAATATTAAATGAAAAAGAATACAAATATCTAAATATCTCTAAACCAAAGATCCCAGGTTTTTTACCATCTCCCTAAAATCCATAAAGACCTAACAAACCCTCCAGGTAGACCAATAGTCTCAGGGATAGATTCTATATCAAGTAGGCTATCGGAATATCTGGATAAATGTCTACAACCCATTGTTCAAAAAACTCCGAATTATCTTAGAGACACATTAAATATTATACAAACATTACAAAATATAGAATGGGAATCAAATTACATATTAGTAACTGCTGATGTCAGTTCCCTCTACACCATTATTTCACATACAAAAGGTCTAGAGACGGTGGAATTTTTCATGAGAGAAGATAATAGCTATCCAGAGGAACAAATTACTTTTATTTTGGAAGGAATAGAACTTATTCTTCAAAACAACTATTTTTGGTTCAATAATGATTTTTTTCTACAAAAAGTCGGTACTGCTATGGGGACCAGGTTCGCTCCAAGTTATGCCAACTTGTTTATGGCGTATTGGGAAACAAAGTATATAAATAACAATATTGACTGGGAAGCGAACCTGGTCTCCTACAAACGATACATAGACGACATATTTTTAATTTGGAAAGGTTCAGAGGAACTCCTCAAAATGTTTTTTAACGTTCCTAAATACAAATGACTGGGGAATTGTATTAACTACTGAGTACAGTACAGATAGTGTTAATTTCCTAGACCTAACCATCTTTATAGAAGACAACAATATAAAAACTAAAACCTACTTTAAATCGGTGGATGTGAACAATTACATCTACCGTAATAGCTGCCATTTTTCCCCATGGCTAAAGAACATCCTGAAAGCACAGCTAATGAGAATTCGCAGGAACCCAAGCCATTAAGATTAAAAAAGATTTTATGGAAAGAGGATATGAAGAAACTTCTCTTATAAACACTATAAAACAAGTAAAAACTATGGATAGATCCTCTCTATTAAAATATAAATCTAAAGACAAAAATGATAATAATATTTTACCTTTTATTTGTAATTTTAATCAAGAGAGTCACAAAATTAAACAAATAAATAAACATTGTCCTATATTGCGTAATGACCCTATGTTATACTCTATATTACCAGAGAAACCAAAACTTGTATATAGAGGAGCTCCTAGCTTAAAACAGAAATTGGTCCATAATCATATAAAGGAAAATATACCACCCCCTTCTTTCAAAAAGAGGGTTTTTTTGGTTGCGGGCAATGTTTGGCCTGTAGAAGTACCAAAAGCACTAAAAGACATATAACAGAATTTTATGACCCAAGAGGGGAAAAGAAATATAAAATACACCAAATGATTACGTGCTTGTTGAAAAGAGTAATATACGTATTAAAATGTTCATGTAACCTTTTTTTTTATTATTATTATTTTATTTTTTTGAATTTTTTATTTTTGTTGTGCATGGTTTGACAGTATGATATACGTTGCCACAACAGCAAACATAATCACATCAATGACATAGATTTATACATATGTGGCTTTGAGGTGAGAGCACAGTTGTAAAGCATTTTTTAAATGTAGTATAGCAATCTAGTGGTATATATATTTTGCAGTGCAAGTATAGGTTTACAAACAGGTACAAGGTACCCCAACGGCATTCCTTATGCATAACATAACATATCAACAAAGTAAACTATAGGGGTATTTGAAAGTTCTTGCACAATTTTTATGTTATAGGTAGAGAGATTATGGTTAAAGCAATAAGGTTACGTAGCATGGTGATGATGTCTGGACTGGGACCATGATATGTAGTTACTTGCCAGCCTCCCCTTCTGTCCCCCTAGATATACTGGCTGAATCTACAAATCAACCGTGTTACCGTGTACGCCTAGTGTGGGAGCGCAAATAGAGTATAGTGTATCTATATGGGCTGGCTGACTCCCATGGGTGCATGTTGCTTAGTGTGGTTGTAGCATTGCGTTGGTATGATCGAGTGTCTGCGAGTGACATGCCAGGCCAACTGCTCTGTTGCTGTGGCTAGATTTGTGCGTTTTTGGTTGGAAAGGGTTAACAAAAACAAAGGGGACATATGTGAGCGTATAGACATATAAAAAGACAGGCTGGTATCATAAACTTAGGGTAGTTCTCAGACATTGTAAGATATCGCTGGTTGCCATTGTAACACATATAAAAGATATCACGGGTTGCCTTTATATAACATTTGGAAGAGCTCCCTAGTTGTCTGTATAAAACATATGCAAGAAGTCACTGTTTGCCAATGTTAGACATGTTAAGGGTATCACTGGTTGCCAAGGGTATCACTGGTTGCCAACATGGAACATAGGAAACATACCACTGTTTGATAAGGCCCTAGTCCCATGTGGCTGGCATAACTTCAACTTTAGCTTAGCAATATTAACTGCCTGGGTATCAATGGGCTGGTATATAACAGTAAGTCCTGAGGGGGGCACGGGTACCTCGCTCGGGGCATGTGGCGCAGTTAGCCGATGCCTCGGCTTGGTGTATCTGTATCGTCCCTGGGATTCATCAGATGCTGGCCTCGCTGCCTTGCCATGCAGAGTCCCGCTTGTCTAGTGTGGATGGAGACATCTAGGCAGTCACTTAGGGCTGTAATGGCGATGGGGGAGTTCATCCCTCGAGCTTGTGCCAGAATGTTAGTCTTATCGCTGCAGGCCCGGTGACCTCTAGTTGTCTGCTGCCGTTCAGGTTTGGGCCTCACGCTTGAGTTCCGTCTCATCTGGGTAGTGCCATAGTGTCTCAGTTGCGGGAATCCCCTCTTGCCCCGGAGCTGTGTGGGAGCTGGCGCTCGTAGGCCACGAGCCTGGGAACCTTCGTGGTCCAGGGTCGGCCCTTTCGGGTTGGTGCGGGGAGGTAGGTCAGGTTGCTTGGGGTTTCGTCTTGCCCTTCTCCGCGTGTGTGGCCGGCGCCTCTGGGGTACTCCCCATCTTGCTCTCAGCCCGGGAGGGCTTAGGATGTGGGGGATCGATGTGGGGGTCTTAGAGTTGCCCTTCCACCATCGGCTCTTACCCTTGTGGGTAATGTTTGGCAGGGCATTGCAGGCTTGATGTGTGCCTGTAGTTTGGCCCAGAAGCGGTCGAAGATTAGTGTGATGGGATCTTTTACGTAGTCCTCGGTGTCCTCTGCATCCGGTGGTCGCTGTCGCTTGTCGGACACTGTCGTGTCGAAGTGATCCGCCATCTTGGGCGCTCCCGTCCCCTCATCTCTTATGGTGGTCTGTGTGCTTGTCTGTTGGTGTGGGGTTCGGGGCAGCCCGCCAGGCGGGGACCGGGATATCCCCCACCGGTCCATGGGGGGGGGTGCGTGTTTTGCACTCGCTTTTCACAGTTGGGATCCGGCGGGAAGGCGGCCGTCCTTCCCCCCTGTTTCCACTAGGCCTCAATTTGCTGCCACGGTTCCCGGTTGAGTCGGGTCTCAAATTTGGTACCGGCATAGTCGTGGTTGCTTCCCCTAGCCTACTGGCAGGTTTGTAGGGGAATCGCAGCAGGCAATCTCCAGATATTTGATAGTAAATGAGCATATACAAAACATCAAAAAAGGCTTTGAAAAACATAGTGTTTCGGAACATTTTAACTTGGTACACAATAGAGATCCTCAACATTTAGAGTTTATGGCAATTCAAAAGGTTACGCTGAACTGGCGAGGGGAAGACGAAATAAGAAAATTGGGGAGAATTGAAACTAAATGGATTTTCAATGTAAATAATTTGGCCCCTTTAGGACTAAATGCTGACTTTGAATTATGCCATTTTTTATAAATTTTAAAAATGAAGTTAAAGACAATATATAAACAGATGTCCCTGTTTAATTAATTTTTCAAAATTAGTCCACTCATCACTATTTTTTCGATCACCTTTTATTTATTTTTTATTTCATTTAATTATTATTTATTAATTATTATTTTTTATTTATTTATTTTTTTGTTTGCATATCAGTTTCCCACTTTATTTTACTTTAATATTTATTTTCATTTATTTTCATTCTTATTTCTATTTATTCCTATTTTATTTTTATTTTCATTTTTATTTTCATATTTATTTTTATTTCCATTTTTATTTTTTATATTTATTTTTATTCCTATTTTTATTTTTATTTCATTTTTTCCTATTCCAATTTTTATTTTTGTTTCTTGTTTTGACTTTTAATTTGATTTCTATTCCTTCTTTCCCTTTTTACACTTTGTATTTACCAGTTACTATTTTTTATACTGGAGATACAATTACATACACATATAATTCCAATTATTAATAATTCACAATAAAATGGAAACACACTAAAAAAGAAGTTAATATATAAATCCATCAACACATTATAATCCATTATTATTATTATTAATTCTTCATTTCAAGTAGATTGAAAATCCATTAAGTATATTTGCACAAAATCAAATAAGCACAACTGCACATTTATACACACCTTTTTTATTATTATATTGTATTTTTAACAAACATTTTTATGGACTTTGAGAAAATTAAAGTATGGACTTGTTTGAGAGCTATATTTTCAGAACGGAGAGACACCGGAAGTCACATATGCATTGAAAAGGACTAAGAACCCTGTAGCACAAAGAAACAGGAAGTGACGCGATGGCATTTTAGCCGCGTCACATTCAACACTTAACTGGGAAACCGGAAGTCGCGAACAACCCGCTAAGGATTGTGGACCTTGTGGTACGAGACAACAGGAAGTGACACGACGGAACTTTGTCGCGTCAAATTCAACACCCAATTGGACAACAGAGGAACCGGCGGGAATTTCAATGTTTAAAAGGACGGAATATTAGGAAATCACTTCAAGCTGACTGAGGAAGCCGTTTTTACCGGCGAAACGTGTTTTAGCTCTAAGTGGACCGATATTAAATTTTTAGGCCACATATATTGATATTGTATTGTTTTTATGTACTGCTTTTTTATTTTCTAGATATACTAGTGTATTTTTTATTATTACTATTTTATAATAAATTGTTCCCATTTTTTACTTATCTACTGCATCCTGCATAAGTGACTCCAGGGGAGGGTCAGTGTCACCCCACAATTTGACACTAAGCTAACATACTTAGAGCCGGTTACCAAAGGCTCTAAACAAGGTGAGCGTTTCTACTTTCATTTATATGGACATCATTTCCATTTGAGATGCTACACTTAGTTTAAAATACTTGTGTCTTTTACATACTCTGTGGAGAACATCCATATTTTCTTCAGGAGAGAGGGGTCGTGTGATCTACCCAAAAAGACACAGATGTGTGGAAGTTTAGAGCCTAACACTAAAAAGGCTCTAATAAATGTGAGTGTATATACATCCACAAATTCACTTATTGCCACATCAAAAGACATATAGCACTATTATCTGAATATGTTCTTTCTGTTCTTTTTTATATATCAACTACACTAAGACAAACGGAAAAAGGGTAAGAGTTCCTAAAATGTTTAGAGAACACACTTACCTCACATTAATATAGCGCTGCACTCAATTTAAAACTTAAGGTATAGAAGGTGGCAACATCGGCTAAACCGGAGGTTTGTTTGTGTTTTTTGGTACTTGTAATAATCTGGACTATGTATATAAAAAGGTTGCCTGTATTATTCCTGTAACTTTTATATTGCCTGGCTGTATCCTGTGTGTTAATATATGCTGTATTGAATTCGTATGCTAGCTGCTGTAAGCCACTAGCATTCATGTGTTTTGTTTCACGAACAGCACCATTGCGGGCTGTTCATGAACCGAATGAGCTACCCCCTAATAGCCCACACACAGAGGGACGTGTGGCGCTCGTTAACCACGCGGCGGTCAGCCATCTTGGATCCTTTGTCTCCCCAGCGGTGTTTGGTCGTCGAGTGCATGGAACTGAAAACTGCTACTCAACGGTGCGAACACCACTGGACTTGCAATTTGAATGCAACAAAAGAACCGAACACAGAAGTGAATGGAGACGGATTATGCTACATTAAAACGGCAGACGTTAAAGAAACTGCTGGAAGCCAGAGGTAAAATAGCCAGAAACAAATCAAAAGCTGTACTTATTGCTGAACTGATGGAGGGAGACAGAGCTCGCAACGTTACACACCCACCAGCCATGGAAGAGACCCTCTACCAGAGGGAAATGAGGACTAGGATGGAATTTTTACCCCAGCCTGTACCACTGGAAATGCTGACTGTACTGATGGCGGATGTGCAGGAGTATGTGATGGCACACGGACAGCAGAATCCACCCTCCAGGGCAGAATCTATTACTGCTGCAGTTAGCAACCAGGTAAAGCCTAAAATTCCTTACCATGCGTTTAAAGTGTTTTGCAAAGATAAGGACGAAATTGATGGATACTTACAAGACTTTGAAAGGCTATGTGATTTACATGATTTGGAGCAGGCAGTATGGGTGCCGTTATTAGCAGGCAAACTGTCAGGTCGGGCTGCAGAAGCCTATCGGGCTGTACCAAGGGAGGACAGCAAAGATTATGC